ATGATCACGGAGTTCGGACCTTCCATCCTACGTCTCCGCTCCCCACTCCCGGAGAGAAATCCACTAACACAACCGGGTTTTCTACGTTCACCCGAACAATGTTTACACCTCACACTCGGTTTTCTAGCTAACCGAAAACTTTACAATCAACACTCTTGCAATCACCACTCTTGCAAACACACTCTATACCCTCACAAGTGTTGGACCTAGCCGTGTCTCCCTCAAGTGCTCGGTTATAACCTCTCCCTAGGCTCGTCAACCGACGCCACTCCTCTTGGGACGATCCCCGACTCTCACCACACACTCCTCTCGGTGTACAAGTGTATTACAAAGAGAATCTCACACTGAGGCTTAATACAATAATTGATTGTTCTCAACTATGGATGAGAACACAATGAAAGCTCACACTCAATGTTACAACCTCTCACCAACCCACAATATATTATGAATGCAAATACAATAAGCTCAAGTGGGTGTGTGTAACAATGAGATAAAATAAAATCTAACTCAAATAGCAAACTAGCAATAATAAGAATATGAAAATCAATAATGAAATTGCTAGAGAAAAGAGTTAGAAAACTTCTCTATGAACACAAAGAAGAGGATGAAGAAGATTGAGAATGAATCCCTCAATCTACAGTGAAAACTTCCTCCTTTGTAAACAGAAACTCAAACTTAAACAAACAGTAAAAACCTTAAACCCTTGTTTAAAAACTTTTCTTAGCTACTTGATAACTGAGATCAAGGAGGGTATTTATAACCTCCAAAATCTCAGCCAACAACCCCAAGCAAAAGATAAAAACAACCCCAGAAAAACAGCTCAGAAAAATAGCCGTTGGGAACCAACGGATATATTGGCGGGGCATATATATATATATATCATCTATCCTTTAAAGGAGGGAGTACTAGAAAAACTTTCTCTACCCCAAATTGCCCTTCAACTTTTATAAATATAACAAAGTTAATTTGGATCTAATTAATGGGCAAATTTATGAGGTTTTTTTATTATTATTAAGAATTTATACTATATATATATATATATATCATCTACCCTTTAAAAGAGGGAGTACTAGAAAAACTTTCTCTACCCCAAATTGCCCTTCAACTTTTATAAATATAACAAAGTTAATTTGGATCTAATTAATGGGCAAATTTATGAGGTTTTTTTATTATTATTAAGAATTTATAAAATGAGTTATAAAATCAAAAGCTTTCACACCCAATAAATTACAACTACTTGTCACAAGTTATGAGTTTTTTTTACTTAAGAATTAATGAAAAATTTGTTACGAAATGAAGAGGCTAAATATAGCATGGAACAGTGAGAACATTTCGGATTCTAGGACTCTGAAAAGGTTTCCGAAAGTAGCCTGGCAACATGCCCGTTTGTTGTGGAAAAACTCGGTTCGTCTTCTTCTACAACGAAGGATGTGTTTCATGCATTGAGATTGAACATCATTCTTAGATGTTAGATTGATGCCAAAACCAGTAAGGTATCTTTATTAGCTAAGAAAAGAAATTGTTTTTCCCCCAAAATTTTTATGTTGATATTGAATTACCCATACATCTTCTTTTTGTTGAAGAGAATTGTGGGGAATTGCACAGGAAAACTAGACTCAACTGATTGTGCCTCCCGTTTTGTTTGAAGAGAGCTGCTCGAGCAAGTCAATCCCCCTCCATCTCCCTCCCTCTTCCTTCTCTCTCCTCTCCCCTATCGCTAAAGGTAAAATTTCACCAAACCCCCTATGTCTTTTCTCTAATTTTCTATTAGTCCATTCTGAGACTCTCCTTTGATTTCACCAAACAAAAGGTTCTGAAAGCACCGTCTACAACGTGAGGCTCGATGGCTGGAGAGTCACCATCAAAAAACCTGTCCTTTCCTCTTCAGACGACCTCGACAAGTTCCACAGAGAACTTCAACTGTGGTGGTAAGAAAGTTTACACTCCTTTAGGTGGTTTTCACTTAAAGTTGGGATTTTGGGAGTGCCCATGTTGACCAATATGGATAATTTTGATGTTGGTTTTTTTTAGCGTGAAGTGAAGTGGATCATCCTTGATTGGCTAAGTTGGTTATTGCTCATGCGAGGCCTCCAAATTATTTGTTTTTCTTTGAGTTTTATGAGTGGGGGAATTTGGCAGAGAGATTGCATGTTGAGGAGTGGAGCCCTGAGATTGATGAAGAACTCATGATTACTTATGATCTCGGTATATTCTTTTGTATAATGTGGTGTATATGACTATTTACCGAAAATATCCTGTGAGATCAAATTAGACATTGCATTGTTTGTTTTGTACTAAATTGTTTGTTATTATTTCAGCTGATACACAAGTTTATTATGCTCGAGTTCTATTTCTATTGATATAGTTACATCCTTAATTGCCTTCTCTTTGATCTTCAATGTGTTCTATTATTATTTGAAACTTTATAAACATAAAAAATATATTTTCATTTTTCTGATGCAGAATCAAGGTTTTGATGTGTCACTGTCAGATGCCAGTAGTGTTTTTGATTCCATAAAGGTGATAAGCTTTCAACTCCTATGTATTCTTTTTCTTTTTTGCTACTTTTCCATTTAGTGAAGAGGTATAACTTAAACCATTATTTCATCAGTCACTTAGTCAAAGTGATGGAAGATGGCGATATGATTCTAGTAGTGCTGAATCCAGCACTTATGTTGCTGGTACTGAAATCTTTTACCTTTCTTGGTATCTATGTTGAAAAGGTACTGAAATCTTTTACCTTTCTTGGTATCTATGTTGAAAATAACTTAACACTAGATGCTACATTTACCAGTTTATGTCTTTTGTAATTTGAAAATAACTTAACACTAGATGCTACATTTACCAGTTTATGTCTTTTGTAATTATTGCTTCACTTTGATAGGTTGGAAATCATCTCATGTTAATGTTGTAACTTTTAAGTACAACTACTGTTGTGCCTGATCAAACTGATCACTTTTCATGTTTGTACGGTTGCAGGGACAACACTTGAAACACTTGCAGGAGTGGTTTCCCTGGTAGATCCAGAGGTGGATCAATCAAGGGTAAGACTTACATTACCAATGTTTGTTTTTTAAATTGTATGATTGTGTTATGATTAGCTTTGAGTAACTATTTGATATCAGAATGATCGTTCATAATTTTTACTCCTATTTAAAAATTAAGGAGAATATCTCTTACTTTTGCTTATAATTACACTTCGTAGATTAGATGCATTGCTATCCCACTGAACTTTATTTTGCTTAAATGTAAGACTCATTGGCTTTAGGTTAGTATGGCAATATGATTCTATGTTAATATTTCATGGCCATTTGAAAGTAAAAATTCTTTATTTTACTCAAGCTCTAAGGCTTCTTGCAAAGTTGCAAGCTTGCAATACATCTTGCTAATCCATAATACTCTGAAGCATTATCACTAAGAAGGCAATACTTTATCCAAGTTGTGTGAGATAGGAATGCGACATGCGATTGAGTACCAAATTGAGTGATTAATTTTTTTTCATAGGTAAAGAATATTTCACCGATTATCAGGTGTACAAGGGTACTTAGGCATTCTAAAGTATAACAAAAGTAGGCTTCCAACAGCAAGAAAAAACATCACAATGCTACATGAGAGAACAATATACAAAGTGATGACTTTTTTTTCATAGGTAAAGAATATTTCACTGATTATCAGGTGTACAAGGGTACTTAGGCATTCCAAAGTATAACAAAAGTAGGCTTCCAACAGCAAGAAAAAACATCACAATGCTGCATGAGAGAACAATATACAAATATAAGTTAGTGTCATTTAAAATCACCAAGTTTGCAGGCCATCAAGCTGTGAATTTTATTGAGTAATCCCGCGAGGGAATTGTTACTGCCTCTAAATTGTCTGCAGTTTCGTTCCTGCTAAATATAGTATATAGTTGCTACAAGCAGAGCTCTTCTATGCCTTGAACCTGGACCTTTTCTTCCCTCTAGAGTCTTATACCAAGGCCGGAATCTAATCCAAGGCTTATGTCTTCCTTGAGGCCTCATATAGGATAGTATTTGATCACATATTTGAGCTGAAAATAAGCATTTAAAGAACAAATGCTCAACAGTTTTATTATGAGCCCACAAAGGTTACCGTGTGCATCATCTGTTCTCCCCCAAGCTTTAACTTTATCCTTGGTCATGAGCTTGTTGAGCATAACTAACCACAAGATTTTGTCAAATCATGCTTATGTATTAAGTTAAAAGATTTGAGACTGTTCATATCAGTGTAAGTGATAATGTGCATTTATAGTACTTGTTGAAATAAAATAAATTGGGTTAGAGAGATTTGAACCTTGTGAAATTTTGCATATACCTTAAAATTCATAGATATAATGGTATATTATTATAATCATAAATACCTTGGGCTCGAATTTAAGAAAAAATTTAACCTTTTTTACCTTCAACAAATCATCATAGGCTATATCCCTTTCGCTCATTTGTTAGAACTTTTTTACCTTCAACAAATCATCATAGGCTATATCCCTTTCGCTCATTTGTTAGAACTATAAGTAGATATAGTAGTTTAATATATTTTGTAAATAATTTAACCTTTTTTACCTTCAACAAATCATCATAGGCTATATCCCTTTCGCTCATTTGTTAGAACTATAAGTAGATATAGTAGTTTAATATATTTTGTCTAGAGAGCTTTATGTTTTTCCCTTCCCTTTTTTAGTTGTTTAATAATAATTGTAATTGACTCAATTGTTATATACTAAAGATTCTACAAATTTGGAAATTCCTATTAGAGAGTAAACTTTTACTAAATGGACATTATCAAATATCTTGCAATATCTTAATTCATGTAAGCAAATATGAGCTCAAATGCCAATTGAAATTACTATGAGGAAAGTACTAATTTCATGATACATATAAAAATTGATAATGCAATTGCTAAAGGAAATTATTAAGCTTACAGGCTACAAGTCATATGATAAATTAGAGAATGATAGTTAGCCAAAACGCATTTGCGTCTATTAGCTTAATTATTCTATTGATAGACTCTATAGCATAACAAATATTATAGATGTTAATGTAAGAAATGTTGGCAGACATTATAATGTAAGAAATATTGTAGATGTAATGGGTATTTGTTTAAAAAGAATGTTCTTTCTAGTGTAATAAATATATTAATAGAATAATATTTGCGAAAAACGTCGATAAAGTCCCAAATCAGCCCCAAATCAAGCATCGGAAAACGTCGATAGAGTCCACCGACGAACGACCAACTCCACCAACAAAAAACCTTAAGGTCCATCAACTTCGCCGACCGAATCCGCCTTCAGCTCCTCCGACACGATCTCACCGTCGGCTATCGTAGTCTCTTCTCCTTCGCGATCTCACCGTCGACCTCCTCCTCCGCCTTCAGCCCTCCTCCGCTATCCCTCTGTCGATGGAATACCTGGCCCAGTGAGTTCACTTTCTTAACTATATGTCATTATGGAACTGATGCTCCTTTATATTAGTTTACAACCATTACAAGTTATTTAGAATATACCTGCAACTTATATTTATGCTTTTAATCATGATGTGCAATTTTTACTGTCCATTTGCCATATCCCAAAACGTGAAAGGAATGATTTCCAATGACATAGTTTACATGTACATCGATGTATGAAAATCTTAGGATTAATTGAGAAACTAGCCCTTATACATGCATGCTTTAAAGTTGACTATCTTCCAACTATTCTATTTAAATGTTTGACTTTCACACCGAAGGTATCCTACATAAATTTTATATATCTGAGCTCGGCTGATAGATAGAGCTTATTTCCGTGTGATTTTGGTGCTTCCTTGCAGAAAATACCAAAGTGGTGGATTTAGCTTTACTATGTAAGCTCATTATCCTGGACTTTGAATGGCCTATTTACTTCACAGTATGGGGATATTCACAAGGAAATCATGGTGTTTGGAAAAACAAAACCAGTGGCCAATTTCCTGAAGGACTATTTTGGGTTCCGACATGATTATTTAGGTGTTGTGGGTTCCATTCTGATAGCATATCCTCTCATCTATGGATCTGGGAACTCTTTCTAGCAGTTTGTGATGAATTAATAGGTCATTATAGCTTCTATGAAAAAATAATAATGGAAAAATTGAAAGGAAATATGAGAAGTATTAAAACAATATTGACACACATATATATTGTTTGCATTAGTTGATACGTATCTTAGTGAGACCAGATGCTCATCTACTCCAGATTTAGCTCTATTTAACGCAGGTTATCCATGGCAATAAAGTGTTTTTATATTGTGAAGAGAGGTCGACAATGTGGCATTTTTGATAATTAGGAGGAATGTAAATTCGCTGTTGATAAATTTCCAAATGCCTCCTAAAAAGGGTTTGCAACGTACGAAGAGGCTTTGAGTGAATGGTAGAAGCACACCTTCGATCGTGATCTGTCCAGACACCACTTCAATTTCAACAATAAATATTTCCAGAGCAACATAATCTAGATAAGGACAAGGAAAATTTAGGGAAATTGTTATTTCCCCGATCTATGTTTTTGCATTAGGTTCAATATTTACAATATTAGTGTTTGTAGTATGTACCGTTGCAGTATTTATTAGCTTGTCCATTGTAAAAGGTATGTGATGTGGTTTGTAAATGTGGGTTGATTCTAACAAAAATGCAATGTGTAGTGTTCTTTACAAATATATGTTGTTGGCAATGAGAGGCATTGATGTCAGTGGTGCGCGGAAGAATGAGCTGTTCTGCTATTATGCCTTGTTTGAATATATGAAGATTATTTCGGATGAAACTAGTTTTGATATGTCCTTTCTTATTGTTACTAATACACGAGGATATCCGTGATGTATTTTATGATATGTTAGAGTTACGCCATACCCACACAAAAACCTTTGGTGTCTGAAAGTGGTAAACGTTCTATGTTGCATTTCTTATAATAGCTCAGGTGTACGCCTGTATAATTGCGCCGATGTAAACGTTTCATCGCGGTCTCTTTTGATTTGTATAGCAGGAGTTGCAATCATAAGAAAAGGATACCGCAGTATACTATGAGTCCAGAAATCAGGTAGGCTGCTAATATATTTAGGCGCATTTTGTTTTTCAGCAGAAGTAAATTCCTGGGGGTAGCTCCAGATTTCAAAATTTGTGTAGCGAGTTATTAATCTTAGATTTTTTTGAGGTTTGAGACTTAGAAAAAACAAAGTAGAGGATTTAACAGATAGATTTTTTACAATACACTTTCCACATAAAGGGTTGCACAACAAACCATTGGACACATAGATTTCCATGTACATAATCACAACATATTTTCCACACAAAGGGTCGCACAACAAACCTTTTGCATAATAATCAAACAAAGTAGAGGATTTAACAGATAGTTTTAAGATTTTTCAATGAGAACAGTTATATGTTGACATCAGGACAGTTATACAGAACCTAACACCAGACAACATACATCTCAATAATATTTCCAGACAACATACATCTCAATCTGCAACAACTCCCTATAGAAATGTCGTTGATGTGCTCCTCAAGCTTTCTTCAATCATGAGATTAAAAGGAAGAGCCTAAAACATTTCCCTGTAATTAAGAAGGCACAAACCATCACTATTAACCTAAAATAAGAAATATCAGCTTATTTTATTAATAATAATGTTGTAGTGTATAAATGACTACAATGGAACATAACTCTCATTTAACAATTTAAAGTCTAAAAACCACTGAAACTTTTTCTAGTTAAGGCTATACTAACCATATAAAATTTTCACCGTCTTCATAGGAACACATCATCCCCTTCACTTGATGACCCATTACCCTCTTGCAAATTTGTATCACCGCATGTAGAAGACCTATAATATATATATATATATACATCAAGGGGGATAATAGAAGGTGAAAAATAAGACAATATAAATAATAAAAGAATTATTACTTACGGGATTTGTGAGTATCAGACAATTTCGCTTATCATGTGATTAGCCTACTTTACCACACCCGTGACAACGTCTATCTTTTTTTTTTGGTAAGTGAAAAATTTTATTTAATCACCAAAATAA